AATTCTGATCCCCTAAGATTGGAGTTACAGAGGATCGTGACACTCTATGTGAGTGCTGGGAATTGAACCCAGGTCCTCTGAAAGAACAGCCAGTGGTTTTAACCCCTAAGCCATCTATAGGAGGAGCACTGGCTGTACCCAAAGGCTCCCTTTCTCCATCCTGTCTCAGGCAGCCATACAGCTCTGGATCCTCTCTGGTCTTGAAGCACCTTGGAGACCTATGAGGCTGCCTTTGCAGTGTGGCCCCACAGGTCAGCTGTTTGTCTAAAGGACAATGACAGCAGACCCTTCTATTTGTCAGCCAAGGAATCAAGAGTCTGACCTTCAGTTGCTTAACCCAGGGCTATTTTCCCAGCTTGCAAGCCCTCGTCCAGTCTGAATGTGCCGAACAGAGGCGGAGTACAAATGCGTCGATGTAGGCCCAAGGAGACCGTGTGCCCCAACCCTCTGCAAAATCCCATCTGTGTGTATTTTGCAAACACCAGGAGTGGACCTTTTCAAGTGTAACGAGGGAGCGCTTGAGAAAGTCAGCTCCGAGTTTACAGATGGGAGCATCCAGGTAGAGCCAGAGTTCACTGGCTTGTGGGGGCTCCTGACAGGGAACATTTGCCTGATTACATACCAGCCACACTTGGTCTCTGGGTTAATGTTGCCCTCTGGCTTGAGCAGACCACATCCCTCCACCTAAACTGGTGAGCTCCCAGCTGAGAGGTTGGAAAAGGGGCCTGCTGGTCCTTCAGGCCTGCTTAGCTCTGAAATTGCCAAGCAAGCACCTGGGTGTTCCTCTGGCTCTGTGCCCCTGTGAATCCCAGGGGCTTCTGATTTATCCCCCATCCCCACCCCAGCCCAGTGCCCACCCTCGGGTGGGTTGTGTTGGGTTACTAACCATTAGAGCTTACCTTTGTCTTAAGCCTCCTGTGTGCTGGGATTACAGGTATGCACCACAGTTCCTGGTTCCTGGCTAAAGCACATCTTTTTCATTCAGCCTGCTCCCTTAAAAAAGACAAGGTCTCGTGCCGGGCGGTGGTGGTGCATGCCTTTAATCCCAGCACTCGGGAGACAGAGCCAGGTGGATCTCTGTGAGTTCGAGGCCAGCCTGGTCTACAGAGCGAGATCCAGGAAAGGCACAAAGCTACACAGAGAAACCCGTCTCGAAAAACCAAAAAAAAAAAAAAAAAAACCAGAAAAGAAAAGGTCTCATGTAGCCCAGGCTAACCTCAAACTCTCTAGGGAGTCAAGGATGGCCTTCACTTCGTGAATTCCCGATCCCTATGTCTCCATCTCCCAAGTGCTGGTACTGCTGGTAGTGCCACCTACTTTTCCCTTCTTTACTGAAGATGGCAGACTCCTTTCAATGTCTTCAGATACTCAAAGGACAAAATTAAATTCTATTTTTTAAAGTCTTTTGTCGGCATGAATACAGATAAAGGAAAGAAGAGATCTGATTGGACAGGGAGGCAGATCCTCTATACTATTTAACAGAGAACAACCTGGAACCCTGGAGGCTGGAGACTTCAAGGTGCCATGGACGTGGGCACAAGCCAGCAGCCTGAGCCGGGACTGGTTTTAACCCACTGGCTGGCTTTGCTGAAGACAGACTGTTCCCCAGAAACAAGCAGCAGCCGTGAGGGGTCCTGCCTGGCCCTAGTCTGACTTAATTCCCATTTGGGCATCAGTTTACTTTAGTGAAAAACCCCACAGAAGTGCAGAACTGGCATCCACTGTCAGGCAGCTTTTGTTCCTGAGGCCCTGCTGGGAGAGGCCTCAGGCTGGAAGCCAAGTTCTGTGAGGACATGGTGCCTCTGTGATCTAGGCCTAGGGGTGATGGCCCCTCTCTGAAAGGACCGCTTTGAGATGAGGCCAATCCCTGTGTAGACTCCGTGATCTCTCTGGGCCATGCTTGTTTTGTCTAACTTACCTCCTGGTTTCTACAGGCACCCCAGCTGCTCCTCAAATAAAAGCCTGTCTCCAAAACTGGGATGGGATGGGTTAGGAGAGAATCAGGTACCTTTTTCCTTCCCCTGGTGACTTTATTTTACTTCATTTTTAAACAAGGCCTTGTTATGTAGCCCTGACTGGCCTGGAATTTCCCTCAAGCTTTAATTAGAATTTTCTGAGCAACATCCTGGGGGAAACATCTGGAATAAGATGTAGGATGATGAAGAGTCCAAATGGCAATCTCTTTAAAGGTCCTAGTATGTGTACAGTTTGAAGCTGGGTGTTTGGTTCACAACATAATCCTGGCACTTGAATGTAGTAGGCTGAAGCAGGAGAATTATCTAGAATTTCAGGCCAGCCTGTAAGATTTTGACTTAAAAACAAAACATTTAAATCTAAACTCACCAGGCAGTGGTGGCACACACCTTTAATCCCAGCACTCCAGAGGCAGAGCCAGGCAGATATCTGTGAGTTCGAGGCCAGCCTGGTCTACAGAGCAAGTTCCAAGACAGGCACCAAAACTACACAGAGAAACCCTGTCTTGAAAAGCCCAAAAATAAATAAATAAATAAACAAACAAACAAATAAATAAATAAGATAAAATAAAATCTAAACTCACTACTCAGGCCTTCAGAGATAGAGCCCATTTCCAGGATCTGAGCTTCAAGGTTCACACATGGTTACATGGTAAGTTCCCTTCTCAGGCCCCTTGAGCCAGTGGTTTAGTTCTCTCTCTTTCCATGAGCACCTCTGCCCCTGCCCCCAGGAATGCCAGGTGTCCCAGGTGAGGTCTAACTAAATAGGATTATTGGCAGGAGATAGTAAACAATTCTGCGTGGAATGGAGGTTCATCACATTGGCCTCTGCATCATGAACAGGCCTATGGTTAATTCTCCAAGTCCTTCTGATTTCTGCACACATCAGTGCTAAGCAGATCTCAAAGGAAGGGAGGGAAGGAGGGAGGGAGGGAGGGAGGGAGGGAGGGAGGGAGGGAGGAAGGAAGGAAGGACTGGTGGGTCACTCAGCTTATGCTTTGAGAGTTGCTTGGAAGTTCTCCAGAGGCAGGAGGATGCCCTGCTTGGTCTGTGCCTAAAAGAGTTGGGAGAGGTTGTTCTTTGTGTTCAGAGAGAACCCACACAGGTTGAAGGCCAGCTACTCCCTGTGTCCAGTTTGATGACCGCTACTCCTGGGGCCCAGAAGCCGCTGTGACATCCTGGGCCAGCTGCTTAATGATACTGGTGCCAGTGAGGACATGTACCCAAAAGAGTCCCCTGGATTCACTTGAACCCTCCAAATCTGGAAGCTTCATATTCTCTTTCTTATGCTAGCAGGTTTGATGTCTCCATGGATCCTCTGCCAAAATGTAGATAGTGTTCAGAATACAGCGCAGAGGGAGGCAACGTGGCTTCTCAGGCTGTGGAGTCAGCAAGTCCCAAGGTAGGCAAAGTCCCCACAGCAATCTGCACCGAGGTGGAGTGTGGCTGTCAGAGCATAGCATGCTGAGCTTTCTCCGTCTCCAGCTCTTCTGGCCTACCAGCTCCTTGGGGCAATTACCACCTTCCTGGTCATCTTTCCCAGTATGACCAGCTCACCTTTCACACCCTCAGAAAGTACAGAGGCTCCTCCTCTGACACCAGGGGTCCAGGACTGCTGAGGTGTGCAGATGTTGGCATCGACCAGAGTGGGGAAGTGGGACAGACAGAATGTCCTTGCATTAGACACTTGTCTGGTACCATACACTGTGGATTTTGTAACCTGTCCCCATGTGCCCCGGATGAATGAACAACCTCCCAGTACAGCCCACACCAGAAAGTATCTTCTGTAGAAGGGATGATCCTGGCTTTCGGTCCACAGCTAGCTGCCTTCTACCTATCATGTGATTTGAAGACAAGGCAAGTCCCTCTGTCTCCTTATCTGAAAGTGATGGATAGAGAGAAGGGAGGACTGACTTGGCTGCCAGATCCAGTAACTCTAAACGTGGATTGTTAACAAATCTGCCCCGAGCAGGACAGATGTTTTGTCTTTGCAGAGTTGTGAACAGGGCTGTGAAGGTGGGCCAGGTCTGTCTTCTGGTGGAGTATATGGCACTTGCTCAGAGCTGGCACCCGAGGGTTCCAGGACCTCAAGTAGCATTAGAAACGCCAGGGAAGTGTGGTGACTCTGTGTACTTGGTGCTGACCCTGGACATCTCTATGAGAAAAAAAGGCATTAAATTTGGGCAGACCCCAATGCAACTAGTTCCCACCGAAGAAAGGCTTCTCTGTCAAACCTAACAGGAAGGGTCACAGTCTGGTTTTTGTTGTTGTTGGGTTTGGGTTTTGTCTTGTTTTTAGAAGGGATCCCCTCAGACGGCACAGGAGCAGAGTTTCTGAGAGTGAAAAACAAACAAACAAACAAACTGTGGCCTCCATAAGGGGGTCTTGGGTCCCAGGACAGCCAGCCGCTGGGCAGCTTGCTTGCTGGTCTCTCTTGGAGATCTAAGCCTGTGACACCCTCAGAACTTTCCTGCCCGGCCTGGCCACAGCCTGTTCAGCTAAGCACCCGTCCAGGGAGTGATCAACGCCCCCGGGAGTCCGGAGGAGTAGGCCTTCTCTCTACTGGGGCAGACCTGAGAGCCAGAGCCGGCCCTGCTGAGCCAACAGGCGGCCGGAGCCATACGAAGCGCATTAAGTATTAATAATTTCCAGTTGTTTGCTCGTCTTCCCCCCCCCCAGCTACTCCCCCCCCCCCCCCCCCAGGCCTCTGCAGGCTAGGACTCGGCTCTGGCTCTGGGCTGCCAGATCTAGAGATATTAGCGCCTCCGGGGGTCCGGGAGACAGAGTAAGGGGCAAGGATCCCCGCGCACCCCAGGGACAGGGTGGGGGGCCGGACGGAGCCCGGCAGCCTTGCCAGCGGGCGACGCGGCTTGCCGCGGGGGAGGGGTGCGGAGGGGGCGTCGCGGGAAGATGGGGGCGCCGGCAGGCTGGGCGGCGCGCGGCGGGAGCGCAGCGGCCCCTGGTGCACGGCCTCTCGGCGGTCACCACGGCTGGGCCGGCCCCCGAGGCGGGGCGGAGGGCGGGGCCTCGAGCGAGCGCGGCCGCCGGCGACACCCGGACAACGCGCCGGCGGCGGGGCAAGGAGGGCGGCCCGGAGGGCAGCGGCCCTGGCCCGCTTGTGCGGCCCTCTCTCGCGCTCCAGCACCGCTCTGGCTGTGCCCCGGCCCCGCCACACGCGCAGCCATGGTGGGTCGGCTGAGCCTGCAGGATGTCCCCGAGCTCGTGGACACGAAGAAGAAGGGCGACGGCGTCCTGGACAGCCCGGACTCGGGGCTGCCCCCAAGCCCTAGCCCCAGCCACTGGGGGCTCGCGGCGGCGGCGGCGGGCGGCGGTGGGGAGCGCGCCCCGGTCCCTGGGGCGCTGGAGCCCGACGCGGCGGCGACCCCAGCGATCCCGGTGAGTTGCCTCGTGCGCGGACTTCTCCCCGTCCTGGCCCACCCGGAGCCCGCCCGGGGACTCCGCAGCGCTCGCTGTCGGTGCGGCCACCCGCCCGTCGAGACGGCGTGGCCATCGCCGGGAGCCGGGGCGGGAGCGCAGCGAGAGAGCCTGGCCAGCTGGAGCCAGTGGCTGGAAAATTGTCATCGCCTGGGAGGCGCGGGAGCCCCGGGAGAGGCGAGCCGCGGTCTCCTCCCTTCGAGGTGGTGGCCCCCGGGGCTGCCAAGCTGCGGCTCGACCACATTCCTGCCGGGGCGGGCTGGGTGGGGCTCCCGGGACACGGACAGGGAACCCGGCCCACCCCACCCGGGGGCCCACGCCCGGAGGCTTTGCTCCCAAGGCGGCCTCCCTCTGCTGGGACCTGGGAGAGGGGTGTGTTCTGGGCTCCCGGCACAAGGCGGGCTAGCCTTTGGGAGACCCGAGGAGTTACGCCATGAGCTTTCAGTGTGCTGGTGGGCCCCCATCCTGAATACCTAACTCAGCCAGGGTTCTGGTCTTAATGAGATCAGAGTCCTCCAGGTGGCCAAGACTTTGAAAGTATTAATCCGTTTACTTAACTTTTTGCAAGAAAAACTCCAAGTCTGTTTTGCCCTGGGATCTGTTCAGGTGGTGGTTTGCAGGCAGAGCTCAGGAGAGGCCACATCCTGCCTACAGTCGAAGCTCAAAGTAGGACTTGGGGGGGCCTGTTGACTGGGCCTCCCGTGGGGTGGTCAGTGGCAGTGTTGTTCTTAAGGACCATGGTGGAACTTTGGTGGTGTGGGCCTTCTTGACCTACTGACCCTGTGCCAGCAAGCATCCGCACCTCAGACTTCATTCCAAGGTGAAGCTTGCTTCAGCTTGGCCGTCTGGCCTTCTAGCCTCATCTTACCTGCTCTGACCACAGACCAAACAATCATGGGTGCTTCTGATGCCACTTCTTCCACCTGACATGAACCTTGACCCTTACCTGTCTCATCCAAGTCCTGATGGCCTTTCCATGCTCAACTATGTCACCTCCTCTGGGAGCTTTCGCACACATATTCCAGAACCTGTGGCTTGGTGTCAATCCTTCAGTGTGTCCTTGTGCATTTGTCTCTCATTACTACTGTTAACCCACCTCATCTCCCTCCCACACCTAAATGCCCAGGGACTGTCTGCCTGGTGGGCAGGAATGGGGGGCGCGGGGGACGGACCCCTGGATGAAAGTTGTCTTGGGGGTGTGGGAGAACAAACCGTGGTGGCCATAGAACCTTGCAGCTTCCAGAGCTGCCTGGGATGTGCCCTCCTGATGGGGAGACTCTGGCAGCCAGAGAGCAGAGCAGGACCCACTGTTTCTAGGTCTGTGCCCACACCTCATTACTGATGTTGGTTTGAACTGTATCCTTTCCCTGAACCCAGTCACTAAGCTCCATCCTAGCCCTGGAGCCGCAGTACTCCGGGGACCCTCAGCCGGTCCTTTCGCCTTGTCCTGGTAACACAGTAAAGCTCTCAGAGCCAACCTTCTAGAAACATTTGCCTTCTTTGTCCTGGGCAGGTGGGTGGGACTGCCACTTCCACACCCTGGCAGAGATGTAGTTCTTGCTCTTCAATTAAGCAAAGAAAATGACAGACCTGGGGAAACCAGAGCGCACAAAGGGCTGCGGAGGGCCCTCTGCACTGCTTCTCTCTGCACGGAGGGCCGATCCCAGCCAGCTGGGTGACCAGACACTGTCACCTGAGCTTCCCTGATGAGTCAAAGGCTGCGCTCTGCACACTGAGCTTTCTGGCTGGTGGAAGGTGACATGGAGCCACAACACCCTGTGCTCCACTGTCACAGAGTTGCAGGAACCCTCTGTCAAGCCCAGAAGGAAGGAGGTGGGGAAGGAGGCGTGGATCTTTACCTTAAATCCCAGGAGCTCTTTTCCCTCAGCGGTAGTGTGGCCTTCCCTGACTATTGCTAGACAATGACAGCCGGGAAGGGGGCGAGGAGGGGGTGCTCTGCATAACTGAAGGTTCTGAAGAGTCAGGCTTGTGGGACTTTCTCACCAGAGTCCCGGGCACGGCAGCCTCTGGCTCTGGCCTCAGTCCTGATGAGGAGTTCACCATGCCAGCTTCCTCTTCAGCCTTTCACAACCTTCCCCCAGTGCGCAGATAAAGACATCGGGCCTGTGGCACAACTCCCCCGAGGGCACAGAGCACACTTAGGATGGACCTTGCCTAATGTGCTCCTGGGTGCAGTGCCCATCACGGAAAAGGGGAGAGGGGAGGAGTGATCTGGGATTTGAACCCTGACCTTCTGGCCCTAGTGCACTCCCCATCTTCTGGCCCTAGTGCACCTGTGGGCCAGGCCTGTCCTTTGTAGGGACAGACTGTAGTCACCCCGGGGCCCCTTCCTGGAGGCTCAGAGGCTCAGCCTTCTGTGGAGTGTATGCTTTGGCCGGTCAGTCATAGGTCTAACCGCTTTCTCCTCTCTCCCCGAAGAACCCAGCATCTCTGACCCACTCGCTGGCTGCCAGCTGCTCACCACGGCTCTGCCCCCTGTCCTTTGGCGAAGGAGTCGAGTTTGACCCCTTACCACCCAAGGAAATAAAGTGAGTGTACTGATCCTGATACTATTTCTTAAAAAGTTTTTAAAATTCCAGGTACGATCGCTTATTGTTCTAAGAAGTTAGTTATGAAGATGTACCAAAGACTATTGATAGTGTGACTTACTGTCTTGCACGAAAGCTCATTAAATATATAGATACTCCATTTATTTATGTAGCTAGTTAGTTAAAGTCTTCAGATGGGGCCTTGCTATTTCAAGTTAGCTGGCTTGGCATTCACTATGTAGCCCAGGTTATCAAGTTTAGGATGATATTTCCGTCTCCGCCTCCTGAGTGTTAGGATTACAGGTGTGCCACACTACACCTACTAGACACTCTTTTTAAAATAAAAGTGAGATATTGTGATGAAGTTCTTTATGCGTTTCATACACGCCTTTGGGTGCTAAAGATTTTGTTGAGTATCACTTCCAGAAGCCACTCATTCCCTCTGTCCCACCTCAAAGGTGTTATGACCCTGTCTCATGTTACGTCCCTGAACAAGTCCTCTGGGAATGACCTCACCCAGGATTCCGGGGGCAAAGAGTCGTAGAGAGGTTCCAGCAAAGAGCTGTCCTTTTTAGCGAAAGGAATTTTACTTCTGGAGACTGGAGGTTTTGTAGCTGGAGTTTCAGTTGCCTGCACACAAAGGGGCCTTTGATATGGAACAGAGGGAGGTTCATCCATTTAGAGGTGAGCAGGTTAGCCTTTTATTCCCTGGAGCTTGTGTTTCTGACAAAACTGGGACATGACTTCGTGACATTAGCTCCCATCTTGTGACTCCGGGGAGAACAGACCAAATGCCGGTTCGCAGCCACGTGATGCTTGTGGAGCTACTAACGCACATCTGTGAAGCTGCAATATTAATGTAGCCGAGTTGTCAGTGTGATGCTTCCAGAACTCATTAACCCCCATCCATGAAGGGTGTGTCCACCTACAGTCAGTCCCAGCCGGCGCTCAGGAGGCTGAGGTGGGGGTGTGTGTGTGTTGGGGGGGCTGTGGTTCCTAGTCTAGGCTGGCCTACTTAGCAAGACCTTGTCCCAAAATAATAATAATAATAATTCAACTGAGGGATGTAAATGGCAAGTTAGTTTGTGGCCATCAGGGATGCACTTGTCTTTCACTGATAGGGTCAGGTCCCTGGGTCCCCCAGAGTTGGGAGGTTTCCAAACCATAGTCCAGGTAGGCCAATCGCTGAGGACATGGCTGTAGCCAGGCTTCTAGGACGCCCAGCACTCGGCAGTTCTGGGATCCTTCCTCTTCTCATTCAAGAGCTGGCTGGTCGCGGAGGGGATGGAGAAGTCTTTACCCCCTACGGCAGCGGACTCCACCTCGTTCCACGACACAACCCTGCTCAATAATAGATGCATTCAGAGAACAGGTCCTTAGGTCATGTCCCGGCATGATGTCTCAGTTAGGTTTCCGCTCACATCCTGAAAGGAAATCACGGCAAGAACCCGAGGCAGGAAGCATGAAGAAGAGCTGCTTACCTGCTCGCTCCTCCAAGCTTGCTCAGTTTGCCTCCTTACACACCCGGGACCACCTGCACAGGGATGGCACCGCCCACAGTGGGCTGCACCCTTCCGCATCAAGAAAATGCCCCACAGGCTTGCTACAGGGTAAACTTGTGGAGTCATTTTCTCAGTTGAGGTTCCTTCTTCTCAGACGACTCTAATCTGTATCAGGTCGTTAAAAAACAAAACAAGCCGGGCGGTGGTGAGGAACGCCTTTAATCCCAGCACTCGGGAGGCAGAGCCAGGCGGATCTCTGTGAGTTCGAGGCCAGTCTGGTCTACAGAGCAAGATCCAGGAAAGGTGCAAAGCTACACAGAGAAACCCTGTCTCCAAAAACAAAAAACAAAAACAAACAAACAAAAAACCAGTAACCAAGGCACATGAACATGTTAACATGCAATTATACATATTAAGAAGGTGCCGCATCACTGGACGATCTTACGGGACCACTGTCATATATGTGGCCAGTCATTGACCAAAATGCCTTTGTGCTGCATGCAGACACTGTGTCCCTCCGTTGTCAGAGAGGATTCTGAGGTGAAGGCAAGTTTAGCCACTAGACTGAGGGCTTCTAGCTTATGCAGATGGGAATGGAATTCAGGGCTGTGGCCAGCTCGGGGAAATGGTGAGCTCAAGGTAAACTTTAGAAGCCTGTGCACTGCATTTAGGTTTCAGCTCAGGCCTGCGGGCTTAGCTCAGGGGTAGTGTTCTTGCTTAGCACTCAAGGCCATGATTTCTATCCCCAGCCCTACAGATGTATCAGTCAGTCCATCCATCCATCCTCTCACACAAGTCCATCATCACTCAGGGACACTGTGACCTTCATCTCTGCATCTTACTTTTCTTCTTCCAGGGCGTTTGGGAAGATCCCTTTAAGTCCCATGACAAAAGTGGTTGGAGTGATATGCCTCTCATAAATACTCCCGTAGATTCTTGCTGCTTCTCTGTGGTGCAGCCAAGTTCAGTGTTTGCACCCCAGGAGAGATGAGAGGTCACACTTGGGACCCCATGTTCCTAACTCAGAGGACAGCTTCATGCTGGCTTGTATGTCCTTACAGGTACACCTCCTCAGTCAAGTACGACTCCGAGCGGCACTTCATCGATGACGTGCAGATGCCCCTGGGGCTGGAGGTGGCTTCCTGCAGCCAGACAGTCACCTGTATCCCCAATTGCACTTGGCGAAACTATAAGGCTGAGGTGCGCTTCGAGCCCCGCCACAAGGCCGCGCGCTTCCTCAGCACGACCATCATCTACCCCAAGTACCCCAAGACCGTCTACACCACCACTCTGGATTACAACTGCCACAAGAAGCTGAGGAGGTTTCTGTCCAGTGTGGAGCTCGAGGCCACGGAGTTCCTGGGTAGTGACGGTCTCTCAGATGAATGCTGACTCAAGCTAGCTACCTGAGGTTGGGCCAGCCCTGGTCCCCAGACCACTCTGGACAAGTTGGGTAACATTGCTCTTGCATATCATCCCAGCCCAGAGGAGTCTGACCTAGAGATACCTCTAAGCCTAGCCAGGGAAAGAAGAAAGGAAGAAAAAAAAAATCACTGCATCTTATAATAATAGAGAAACTTGGCTTTGTTTAAAATTTTTTCAGATCCTTTTTTTTTTTTTTTTTAAGGAGCAGATATATATATGTCCTGGCTGGTTGATGCAGTTTCCCCAAAGTCTCAATTTGATGAGAAAATAAACATAGGCAGAACAATGGCATCAGGACCAGCTGAGGTGAGCTTGTCCTCCATTTTCTGACGAAGGAAGTGGGAAAGTCTCCGGAACAGAAAAAGTGGGTTTTAAGAAATTTCAGCCATGCATATTTTCATTGCTGAAAAAAAAAAAGAGAAAAGGAGCTACCTCCGGTGGACTGTGATGCCCAGATGTGTTCAATCTGTGGAGACTCGTGTTCGGGACCATTTTTCTGTTTCTGCTTCATTTGTTTTTCCTGCTAATCCAAACTCTTAGTATTATCAAAATCTTTTTCATGATATTAGGGGAGAAAAACAAAAACCCCAGAAGGAGATGCCTTTAAAACATGAGCACTCTGCCTGTTCTGCCGTCGCTGGGTTGGGTAAACAGCTAGCCCTGTCTGGGGCACCGCAGCTGTCTGCTTCTCCAAGGTTGGTTCCAGGCGCAGGCTGTGGTGCAGCCCTAGCGTGCTTGGCATCTGGTTAACATCTCCTTAGGCTTGTGTAATTCCGCTCATAGGTATTTTGGGGTTTTGAAATACTTTCCCTTTTTTTTTTTTTTTTTTTCACAAGGCAAAATGCAGCAGAGGCTCTTTTTGAGAGGAACGGCATTTTAAAAGAATGCTTTGGAAAAACGCATGTTGGAACTGCGTGGAAAGGGATTCCACTGCGGGCCGCCATGCCTAAGAACAGCTGCCATAGGAGGAGGCAGATTCGAATGTGACTCAGATCATCATGATTAAATGTCTCGATGGACTGATTCTTAGGACTTTGATAATGTCAAAACTGGGAGGGATTGGGTTTAACCCAGCAAAGCCAGGAGTATTCCTCACCATCCAGATTAAGCTGAGATGAATTCAGGAGTAGGGAGTGACAATTCAAACACCACAGCCTTGCCTCTGTGGTGATGGGGGAACATTTCTTTTGTACCACTGTATACACAGAAGTAACTATCGTGGAGTCGGGATGAGTCAAAGGTGTTTCTCAGCCAACTTCTGAGCTGGCCCAGTGGGTGCTGTGCACCAGGCTGCCGCTGCTCCCGTGCCCCTACCCCAGGCCTGGCCCTTGCTTCTTAGAACCCCCTGCCAGGCCCCACAGTGCTGGAGTGAAGAAAGTGGTAAACTGATTTTTTCTTCCAGCACTGGAAAGAACAAGTTGTACATATTTCCTCTGAATACTTCCAAATCATATCAAGTGGGCTACAGAGGCTCTACCTTCTGTGATGTCTCTGGATCTCTGAGGATGGCTTCCATCTGTCCAGAAAGCAGACTTGAGAACGTGCTGGCTCTCCCGGGGCCACGGCAGGGACTTGTGATCGTGGAAGAGAGGGGCAAAGATGATCGCTCTCGTTTGACAATGGTGGCAATGACTAGAGCCACACCGCCTAGCCCGTGTCCCCTGCAGACGGCCATGCCTGGTCTGTTGTGTTTTTAACTCGTCCCCCTGGGCAGACAGGTTGCTGGCCTCGGGGTCTCAGCTGACTAGGGTGCAGCTCAGTTGGGGGGACACTGGAGCACACCAGCTCCTCGGTCAAACTGAGAGTAACAAGTGCTACTTGGCTTTGGAAAAGCCTTTATTGACAGAAGTGGATTTTCTATCTGACTCTGTAATGTCACTGAGGTGGGAAATATAATTTCTTTTTGCAAATACAATTCTTTCTTTTTTTTTTTTTGAGACAGGGTTCCTCTGTGTAGTCCTTGCTGTCCTGGAACTCACTCTGTAGACCAGGCTGCCCTTGAACTCACAGAGATCTGCCTGCCTGTCTCCCAAGTGTTGGGATTAAAGGCATGTGCCACCCTGGCGCAAATACAATTTTTTGTTGTTGTTGTTGTTGTTTTGTTTTTTTGAGACAGGGTTTCTCTGTGTAGTTTTAGTACCTGTCCTGGATCTTGCTCTATAGACCAGGCTGGCCTCGAACTCACAGAGATCCGCCTGGCTCTGCCTCCTGGGTGCTAGGATTAAAGGCATGCACCACCACCGCCCAGCAAATAACAATTTTTGAATTAGGAAAATCATGAAAGCTTTACTCTGCCCCTTTGGAGACACTTGTTTTGAGTTCAGAATCATGATACCTTAAGACATCTCTCTCTCTCTCTCTCTCTCTCTCTCTCTCTCTCTCTCTCTGTTAAGTTGGATCATGTTAAATTCAGGAGTTCAGGCAGAACCTTCTAGGTGTGGATGGAACCAGAACCATCTCAGTAAGTAGAAGCAAGCAACTGTGGATGTCTAATGTGGATGGAAAGGGTTTTATGCCGTTAGGTTATTCGCTAGGAGGCAGCTGTATGTAGCTGTTTTGAATCTTCTTGAAAGCTGCAGGCCTGGAAGCTGAGTGGCATCCTGGGGCACCTTGATGGAGGTGTCACCAGCCCAGAGCAGATCCCTGATGGTTGGCAAAGTGGAAGAGGAGACTTTTAAAACTCACACACTTGACATTCCTGAGTGTGCGTGAGAGACTGGGTGTGTTCCTTATGAAGCTTTTGCTCTGTTGTGTAAGTTATGGCTGTGGCAGAGGGTGTGTGTTTCTAGAGAAAGGTAGTTTTTCTTTCAGATGTCTGGCAAAGACTTCATTTGAACCAGTATCTTTTCATTTGACTCTTTTCCCGTTTTTAAACTTAGAAAGTATTTGACACATACCAAAAAACAAAAAAAAAAAGTTTTAAGATTATCTTCGACCTCTGTCCCACTCCATTTTTGCTTTGTGACTTCTTCATTTAACAATAAATTATCTAAAACCCGGGGATGCTTGCTTTAGTATTTATTCATTCCGTTTTTTAGTTGTTGTTGTTGTTGTTTTTCTGGTTTTGGTTTGTTTGTTTGTTTTGATAAGCAGACACACTGTGCAGCCCCGGCTGGCCTGGAACTCACTTTGTAGCCTGGGCTGGCCTCAGACTCACAAAGACCAGACTGTCTGTCTCCCAGGTGCTGGAATTAAAGGCATGTGCCACTGTGCCTTGGCCCGCTTTTTTTTTTTTTTTTTTTTAAGGAAAATTATGATGATGGGATCAGCAATCTGAGGAAACACCTCATCCTGAGATATCCCACCCCCCTCAGAAGTCCTGTTTGTGGCCAGGCAGGCAATCTACCCCACAGCTGTCCTGCCGCTGTTTGCCTCTTGAAAAATACTGACACATTTTTATTTGTTTGAGACAGATTCCCATGTAGCCCAGGCTAGCCTCAAATGTGCAACCAAGAATGACCTTGAATTCCTGCCTCTACGTCCTGAATGTTAGGATTACAGGCACGCACTAGCACACCCAGCTAGACATGATTTTCTTTGACTGTTAATATGAAGCTGTGAGGAGCCTTTCTGGGGGCAGGGGTGGATATTGATTGCTGGGCACACTTTTAATAAGGGAATTGGATTCCAGAGTGGATGTATACCCTTCCCTGACCTTGATACTCCTGGAAATGTAGCCATGACCTGGGATGTCAGGTCACCTCTTTCCACAGTACCTTTCAAACTGCCACTTTACAGGAGAAATGCATGCCTGGGTGGGATCCGCCCTGCTTTTCTTGAGGTATGAGGGAGGCTGTGGGCTGAAAACCCCTTCAGGTGCTGGACAACAAGCCAGAAAGTAGAACTTACCTAGAACCCTCTGGAGACTTCGTGTCTATGACCATGGGATGGAGTGAGTATCGGGGGCACAGCAAGGCTGTCTTGAGTTGAGATGTCCCCTCACTGCCAGGGTCTCAAAATGAGGTAGTGGAGGGAATGCACATTCGATTCTAAAAAGAAAGATTCACACAGTCTGATGAAGTAAAGCCCTCCAGAGGAGCAATGACTTCCTCTCATCCGTCCCAAGGGTCATAGCTGGCCCTTACAGCAAAAGATGATCGATTAGCAAGAGGAAAACATACAGACTGATGTAGTGCATGCTCTCTGAGATGTGGGGCTAGCAGAAATAAAGACCTGAATGGTGGCTGCTGCATCTTTTGGCATGCACCTGTAATCCCAGCTCATGGGTGGTAGACGCAGGAAGATTCAGACTTTGAGGCTGGCCTGAGTCACATAATGAAGACCCAGCCATCAACCCCAAATGACACACATACTTACACACACACATACGCACACACCAAGTGTACTAGGGGTGGGGAGGTGTTTGGCATCCTACGTGGCATTCCTTCCTAGGAGTTTAAGGCAGGATGCATACCCCAAGAACGGCTTAAGGCAGTGTTTCTCAACATGTGACTCATGACCCCTCTTGGGGGGAGCGGTTGAAAGACCCTTTCACAGGGGTCACCTAAGACCATTAGAAAACACAGAGATTTACATTATGATTCATAACAGTAGCAAAATTACAGTTATGAAGTAGCAACAAAACTAATTTTATGGTTGGGGGTCACCACACCATGAGGAACTGTATTAAAGGGTCACAGCATTAGGAGGTTGAGAACCACTGGATTAAGGGTAGAAGGGTCAGAAAGGGGCCTATCTAGGGTTTTGTTTGTTTGGTCTTCTGAGACAGGGTTTCCAGATGTGGCCCAGGCTAGCCCTGAAGTTATAATGATCCTTCTAACTGCCTCCCACGTGTTGGGATTCCAGCCCTGCCTTGGTTTTATGGCTTGCCCCTGGCCAGAAGGTGAAGGAATCAGGAGTTTCATAGCCTGCTCCAGGGCAGGGCAAGGAGGGTCAGAGAGGCTTCCTGCCTCTCCTACATTTCCTACCTCCACACCTAGCATACCAAAGTTTCACATTTTGGGGTAGCATTTTCTGTACCTCATCCATCTTTTTGTGTAAAGCGGAGAAAGGAAGGATAGGAAAGCCTGAAATGGAGGCCCTTTAAGCCAGGTTTGGTGGCTCAGGCCTGTAATTCCATCACTTGTGAGGCAGACTGTGTGAGATGACTTGGTGTTTGCTTGAGTGTGAGGAACTCCCCAGGACCTATGTGAAAAGCTGGGTGTGGTGGTGCCTACATCTGTAATCCTAGCTCCAAGAGCCAAGCAGGACATCCCTGGAGCTCACTGGCCAGCAAATTGGTGAGCTCAGTGAGAGACTTTGCCGCAAAAAACAAGATGGAGAGCTGAGAAAGACGCTCAGTGTCAACCTCTGGCCTCTCTACACATACACACAAACACAGGAATAACTATCTAATAAAGGACACGCAGCACGGAGGCCTCACGCTGCGCTCCTACTCAGATAAGAGAAAGGCCCTGAGCCTTATCTATTTGCCTTTGAGCTATGACTCAGAAATAAATACCCAGGAATGCATAGTATCATTCCTGTGATTCTTTTTCTAGTCTCTCCTATTATTTTAAGTGCAGGAGATTGAACTCAGGGCCTTACATGTGCTCAGCTGTCAACCATTTACCATAAGCTGTGCCCCTAAAAATAGAATAAGTATTAAAATTGGAAGTAAAAATGCCACTCCCATCATTGTCTAAAGGTCTTCACCTCTGAGGTAAGGCAAGAAAAAGAAAACAGCCTTGTTGTGGGATAGCTGTACACTGTGTGAAGATGTATTGCTGGGATTGGTGCAATAAAAAGCTGAATGGCCAATAGTTAGGCAGGAGGTATAGGCGGGACTTCCAGGCAGAGAGAGAGAGAGAAACTGGAAGGAGGGATCTGGGTGCTTGATTTCACCAGCCGACTCTGAGCAAGTTGGCTGTGCCATACTAAGAAGAGATAACCAAGCCACATGGCTGAATGTAGATGTAAAAATTATGGGTTAATTAAGTTATAAGAACTAGCTGGGGGAAAGCCTAAGCTAAGGCCAAGCTTTCATAATTAATAATAAGTATCAGGGTCCAAAGATAGTCCTACAAGAAAGCTTGCTACATGTGGTAATCCCAGCACTGGCGAGGCAGAGGCAGGCTGATCTCTGTGAGTTACAGGCTAGCCTGGGCTACAAAGAGAGATCTTGTCTCATAAAAAAGAGAGAGAGAAAGGAAGGAAGGAAGGGAGGAAGGAAGGAAGGAAGGGAGGGAGGGAGGGAGGGAGGAAGGAAGGAAGGAAGGAAGGAAGAAGAGAGAAAATGAAGATTGGAATAAAAGGACTAAAAAGGTCCTATGAAAAAGTGATATTTATATTGAAAGGTTTACAACACGCCCCCACGGTCGGGCGTGTTCGCATATGCCCAACAGACACTTCCACCTAGCCAGTTCCAGGTCAGGATAGCCATTTCCGGGTCAGGGCATCTCGCGTGACCAAGATCCGTGACGTTCCATTGGCTACGTAGGCGCGCAACGTGGCCATGTGATCTACGCGCTTGCGTGTAGTAGTGACGCTGATCTGTCCACGCCCAGCCTTTAAAATCCGGCGCCATGTTCCCGGTTCCTTCTTCTTCTTCTTCCTCCTTCTTCTCCACACACGTGTTTCCCGCAGGCCTGCTCACTCTCTGTCCCTTTACCTTTAATAAAACTCTTGTTAGCGGATTCTGTCGTGTTTCGTGGCATTTCCTTGCAGGGTAAGAACACAACGCAGCCGAAAAACTAACATTTTGGTGCTGAAACCAAGCGGGCGCTTCCGGGCACCCTGCGCCTGGAAACCTGTAAACCGGGGACTGCAACACTCTGCTCCGTACGCGACAGACCGCTCTCCATTTTGCCTGACCGCAAAAATTCCATGCAACACCGCTTTCTCCGATTGGTGAGTCCCCCCCATTTTTCGGCCAGTGTAAACGGTTTCCTGAATCTGTGAGAACAACCGGTACCTCACAAGTATTCTTGAGACCGGGGAACCCCCGGCCACGGTCTTCATTGGCTACGGTCGGCCCCTATCGCAGGCCTCAGATTTCTAGCCCTCTCCCACGTCTGCAGCCTGAGATATTTCTCGCGTTGGGACCACCACCGTTGGGTGCGTCCTGGGGGCCACGTGGGGCCGACACGTTCATCCGACTTGACGAAGTGGCAGACGCTGTCCGGATTCCCGGGGAATCCTTTCCTCACGTGGCAGGGGCCCCCGCTTCTGTGGCTGACGAGCCAAGGAGCGGCTTGTGCCCGGGATCCGTCCTTGGCCTTGGGGACGCCTGGGGCCTTGGCTCCGGATCAAGTTTGTTTTTTTATCTTTTTTTATTTTTCTGCCTCTCCGCTGCAGACATGGGAAACAAGGCTTCCAAACCCTGTTAGTCCTTCCTCTCCGTTAGGCTGTCTTGTTGAAGCTTTAAAACCTCTTAGTTTAATGCCTTACATAAAGATTCCTAAGATAACTCATCTATGTTCTAAAAAATGGCCAAAGTATGCTTTAGAAAACAACAAAAAATGGCCGCCGAGCGGCTCCTTAGATCCCGATATTTTACGGGAGTTATCTAATTACTGTCAGCGCTCAGGCAAATGGCAAGAGTTGCGCTACGTTATAGCATTTTTCTTTCTCAGTGCTAAACCGTCTCTTCTGAATTCCTTCTCTCCTGCTCATGTGCTCCTGGCTATGCCTGAACCGGAGGATTCTCTGACTCCAGAATCTCTGACTCTAGATCCTGCTAACGAACCTCCACCTATTCGACCTCCAGCTCCAACTCCTAGAAAACCGTTCCTTCCGCTCCCCTTCCGGATTCTTCTTCTTCTAAAGCTGCTCCTTCCTCGGCAGCGGCCGGTTCCAAAGGCCCTGCCCTAGCTCCAAACTTCACTCCTCCTACCACCCGCTCTCGGGCTGCTAAATTGCCTGATTCCAGCCATCCAAAACCTTCCACTGTTCTCCCTTTGCGAGAGGTGACTGGTGTGGATGGACTGATTAAAGTTCATGTTCCATTCTCTCTAGCAGAACTCTCTCAGATAGAAAGTAAGCTGGGTTCTTATACTTCTA